GCGGGAAGAGAGCGGCCTAAACAACCAGCCCGTCTCCCCCTGACGCCAAAGTCAGCTCGCTGACTTTGGCGTCAGGGGGAGACGTTTCCTTGCAGGGAACGCACCTCTACGGAAATATCTCGGACCCACTGGAGGATGCGGGAGAGGCATTCCAGCAATTGAAAGGACAACTATGGCGCAAAAAACGCATGGCACACAGCTCTAGATCCCCCATACACCGTCGCGTGCAAGCATGCCCCCAAAATTCATCTGCAAAGATCTACAGGCCGCTCCAGTGCGAGAAGAAGCCCTCAGATGCAGGTGATTGAGCGTGCCACACACGCAGCAAGGCTTCTTTACCGGGTTTGACGGACGAAGCAGCAGCAAACACAAGCGAACGCGTGCTGCGCGCATCGATTCATTCGTGCCTAAATAGCTGCGTCAGAAGCAAGCAACCGCGATCCAAATGCGGTGCCTGGAGAAAGCTGCCCTCGGAAAAAACATATCTCAGGAAGGACGCCTCGCCTGAGCACTTCCCTTTTCTCGCCCTCCCCCTCTCTTCCAGTTCACCTGAGAGTCTCCTGCGGCTGCGCGTCTAACAGGCGAGCTGCGGCAAGGCCTGAAGAGCTGCTTGCAGACGCTTCCATCACTCGTGTCAAATAGTCCACGCCTCCTCCGACGCACATGCTGCAGAGACAGCAAGGCGCGGCAGCAGAAAAAATCCTTGCCCCCGCACAGCCTTCGTGAGGCAGCGCTGAACGGGCTATAGGGCGCACACGCGGCTTTCCCCCTAAACCATGTGGAGATCTTAAAGCTCTGCAGCGTGCGATGCTGCCTCAGAGCTTGTTCGAAAGGAGATCGTCCTACTGGCGAATGGCAGATGGATGCGCAAGGAGCTTTGCTGCGTCTGGAGCATTGAGGAGAGCCAGCATGGCCGCAGCTGCCGCAGCTTCTGCAGCCGTTTCCTCCTCTTCCTGAGCTTCTGTCTCGCTCTCCTCAGCGCTCTGAACACACTGCTCAAGGCGGAGGGCTGCCTCCGAGTGGCGCTGTTGCACCTGCAGGTGCAAGGAACTCCGGAGTACGAACGCATCGAAGAGCCCGCTGGATAAAACACGCATATTGCAGCACAAAAGCGCATAAAACGACTTACTAAGCCCTAGGCGTGCGTAGCGGAGCATGGCTGCATCGAATACAATCTACCACCAAGAGATTGCAAAGAGCCAATGTTCCCCGCACATATCAATATTACCACTCTGACACTAATTCAGTTTCCACCTGCCGCTCGGGAGCACAATGAAGGGCACATATTCAAACGCTCACGGCCTATGCCCCTGGCTAGCTGGATCTGACTCATCATCTTGAGCTGCCTGCATCCCGAAAGCAGCTGCAGATCCAGCTGTTGCTGTTTCTGCAATCGCAGCTCTCAGAGCTAGGCACCTGCTGCCAAGAGCAGGTTCCTCTTTAGTCACCGCTGCTCTGACACGACGCTGCCGCTGCCTTCCTGCCGGTGTTTCCGTGCAGTACAGGACAGCTACGCCCTCTGCCTTGCTGCTGCTGCGAACGCTGCACAAAGTCTCATACAATCGAAGCCGCCAGCTTTGCTCTCCTTCTCAGCGGCTGCAATGCCTGCGTAGCCTTCCCCTTGGGGGAGATCCACAAGATCGCTATGAGCTGCTGCGGCTGTGTCTGGTGTTTGCTCCTTTGGCTCCACTTCAGACAGCCGTAGCCTGCACACGTCAGGAGGTAACAGTCCGCCTGCACAGTCTCAGAACCACCTGTTGCTTGATCTAAAGATGGTTCGTTTTGCTAGGGGGTCACTCACGAGGTACAAGGGGACACACTTGGTTGTGCGCCTGCGCTCCAGGCGTACAATCGGCAGCCCCCATTCCGCTGTGGCGGCTGCAGCAAATGGCTAGTTTTGTACTGTCTTCTCATAAATCTGTCGCACTTAAATGAAAATAGCCCGTAATAATGGGTTCCTGTTTAGTTTGAAGGGTTTTGCAGGCTGCTTTATTCTTTTCATCGAACCAACGGGCGTCCTCTCCGTCTGACGCTATGTTCCGTGACGAGCAGAAGGGTAACTTTTTCTGCCAACCTATTGGAATGTGTTGGAACTTTATTGCATACATATGTGTGTAGCTCTGCTTCCGAGAACCTCTTCTATAGCTGAAGAGTGGGCCTGTGGCCAAAACGTTTCACATTTGCGAGCGGCGAACATTGGTGCGGCTGCTGCCACCGCTATTAATACTGCAGCACACCTGCCATTTCTACCGTTTCACGACAGAAGAATATAGAGCCATCGATAGGCCCGTCTTGCTCCAATGACTTTCGAGCGATGGCACTCATACGCATAATTGATAGGCACCACTAAAGGCCGAACCTGGGACAAAACTATGCCAAGAAGCAATCGGCAATTCGACGCCTTGGGAATCAGTGTTTTGCGAGGGGTGCAAACGTGCATCAAGTAATAATTGATGCATAGGCGGGCGTTTACCGTCAGCCACGCCTTCCCACTGCCTGCTGCAGCGCTTGATACACCTTCGAGTCCTGCTGCGGCTAAGCGAAGCAGCTTTTGTACCCTCGACACTCAAAACGTCGAAAAGACACTGATAAGGAAACGGGCTTTCTAGCATGCTTCCATACTTAGTTGTTGTCTTTTTGGGAAAAGCATTCCTCCCCAGCTAACGAGGGCACCCCTGGGTCTCTGCGACGCAGCAACTCTTCACTTGATTTTGGTATGCCTCCAAGACAAGCATCTAAAACACCCAACTCGTGAGTCTGCCAGTTGCGCTACATGTAGGTGCAGGGGACGCACAAAACTCCGGTAGTGTAAGGGCGAACATGATGAGTGCACTCCCTTTGAGAACAACTACGGTTCACTGTAGTACTCAGTAACTAAGCTTTACTCCAAGTGAAGCCTGTTCGCATTCTCCTTGTTGGGCAGCATAACCTATGTTCTATGAATGATGAGTAGACGTCACGCATCCTACTCATCATTCGTTTTTTCGGGAAAAGAAATATACATACCCAAACAAAAATGAATGTTCGTAAGGTTCGGCTCCTCACAGGACACCGGCGCCCCCAAAGGGTTTACGTGGGGCTTCTTGTTTAGGAACGAGGTGCACGGAGGGTCTGGAAGAGATGATTCGTCTTTCTTTGTGATCCACGTATGCTGGCAATACGGAACCAAGCGCCGTTTTCTCGAGTTTCAGCATTGCTTGCCAGAGAGTTCTTCCGAACTGCAATCCAGTCTTGAGTACTCCATACAAGCAACCCCACAGAAGGAGCCTCAGATTCCACCCTGCATTCTTGCTGGAGGCACTCTGACCCAAACCCTGCCAATAAAACACGCGTGGTCGGTATGTGCATCTTTTCACTAGCTGCCTATTTTTCTTGCCGTACCTCGCAAGGTTTTAGGAAGGAAAACTATCTCGGTCTCCAGTACCTGCCCCGTCTGGGTACTCCAGATGCTGGTTTATCTAAGCACGGAGTACGCACAGGCACATAAGGTACACTGCTGCAGCATGGAGCCTATAGCTGGAAAAGTTGGAGTTAGACACGTTCTACTAAACTACACATGTTGACTATGCACTTGTGAAGATTTAACTGGATGGTCTCTCTTCGTATGCCTCATTGTCGCAGTGTACTGTTGCCCCAATACAATGCTGTGTGACTGCGAGCTACTTTTTATGTGCAACCAGCTGTGAAGGCTCGGAGCGCTCACATGGTGCAACCACGCTCGGCACGACAGTTTCTCCCCTCCCATGTCAGGAAATCTGCGGCACAGGGTCAGGGGAAGGCGGGAGCTCTTACGAGAGATGCTTGAAAACTGCTCGTTAAGTTCGCCTTGATTCCGGAGCTTAGTGTCTCTCTACAGAGACCTCTGGCAAAGCGTTACAGAACCAACACTCTTCAATAGCGAGTAAAATCTGTATGCCGCCTGGCCAGACTGCCACATATTCAGTAGATTATAAGTGTAGCAAGTTTGGTGGTAGCATTTTGGACGTAGCTCGACCAGCTGCAATAGATCTTTCCTCCGCTCCCTGTTTACAGGAGTGCTGATTTGCACCCCAGGGAATGAAAGCCATTACCTTCCGCAATACCTTGACCCTGATTCTATCAGATGTCACAGAATATACAAGAATGCAGGTGAATTTCTTAAACTATTATCGTACTTCGGACCAAATCATATCCTTTGGAGAGCCTAGAAGGGACCATGCATACAAGCAACAGGAACTCGATTGCAAGTCACCTACGCAATATGTGATGAATCATGAGTTTTAAGGCTGGGAATCTCCGATGAATAGTTTCCACCCAATGAGTTTACGCCTCTAATTACCGTGAAGCATCCCATCGGACATCAGGACTTTTTAGCGACCCGTGCAAGGGGTGTTACCACTGCTGTACCCACCCCCGCAAGTCAGTGAAAATCAAGGATGGGGCCAAGTCCCAACGTAAATTTATAAAGAAAGCTACAAAAGGGCTTCTTACATGAAGAGGTCACGGTTTTCAGTACATGGCTAAGGCAACATAGTCTATGCGTTCCACATGCCGTGGTTCTTTGCGGTGGCGGCCATTCGCTGCTCTTCGATGAAATTAAGCGCCTTGAAGGCCTATTTCCTCCCACTATACTGGTTTATTTCCTTTTGATGCGTGAATACCTCGTGTTTTCGGCTGCCTTCCATCTTGGCTTACGCTCCTTTAAGTGCGACAGCTGCAACGGGTGTCTTTCCTAGGGGAGCACGGGGCAGCCAGTTGGCCTTCATCAGCGCTGTGATTGGCTTTCTCAAATTCTGCTTATTTTAGTTGATCTGCCCATTTAGGTGCCACCGTGCAGGATGCAGCGCGGGCAGCGCCGACATCCGTAACACCTGCTCAGACGTCCTTCAGTTGCTGCACCTGATACAGCGGCTGCATTTGAGAGGTGGTATTGCAGTATTATGCAGGAAATGGAGGCACAAAGTACCGGAAGTCTTGGCATCGGCAAGGATGACACACTACCACAGCAGCAAGTGGGCCAAATGGACAGTGACTCCCATGCGTTGTTTGGTGGCTGGGGGTTAGCACTGACCTCGCAGCAGCAGCAGCAGCAGCAGAACAGCAGCGACTCGCAGCTTCGACAGGCTTCTGGCTTCCCCTGCTCTATTGCCTCCTTGTTTGAAGACGCATCGCAGACACAGCAGCAACAGCAGCAGCAGCAGCCGCCCCCGCATCAGCAGCAACAGCAAGCTGACCAGCACCCTCCTTCTCCTTCATCTCCTCCAGCAGAACCACGATTCTTCTTGGAATATGTGGTCCTCGAAAACTTCAAGTCCTACAGCGGCCGACATGTATTGGGCCCCCTGCAGAGCAGCGTCGCCATCATAGGAGCGAACGGATCTGGTACGAACAAAGCCTGAAGCTAAGAGCACCGCCCCTGCAAACCCCTCCAGACTGCATGCGCCACACGGCATGGCCGCATTCTTGGCAAGAGGCGTCACAGGTTCCACAGCAGACAGTGTGAAGCGTTTGTGGTTGTGCGCAGGTAAAAGCAACATTGCGGATGCAATATGCTTTGGTCTTGGGGTAACAGGCCGCAGTCTGCGCAGCAACGCCCTGATGGATCTTCGTCACACAGCGGGAGAGGAGGGGGGCAGCCCACCGTAAGGAACTTCCCCCTGGTGCTGCTGCAGGCTTATAATTTCATGAAGCTTACTGCTTCCGCGCTAGACATGCCAACCCGCATGGCATTCGCGCAGTCGCTGTGTGCTTTTGCATGCAGCACTGCAGTGTCTCTGCATTTCCGCCGCCGTGCGTCCCAAGGCACGGAGGGGGAGGTTCTTGTGCTACAGCGTCAGATCACCAGCGGCAGCTCCGGCAGCAGCAGCAGTATTTACAGTGTAGATGATAAGCGGGTGACTGCAGAAGAATACCGTCGGATCCTTGGAGAAAGGCTCTCTCTTGGGCCTCATACAATAGCGGCCTCTATGTTGCTACAGGTAGTACGAAGTGCTGGTGTACGTACAGCTCGCGCTGCTGCCTGCTGCTGGTGCCTCCAAAAATAACTGCAGTGCAGCCCGTTACCATGGCCTCCTCAAGCACGATTTTGCCGTTTCCCAACGATTTTAAAATTATCATGCGTCACCATGCGGCTCCTCGGCAAACAAGGCCGTCTGCTCGCGTGTCTGCTCTCCATAAATGCCGCAGGGTGATTCGTCGGTGACGGCTGCGGCGAGGAACCCGCTTGAGCTTACACGACTAATCGAGCGCGTCGGTAGCAGGTCAGGCTCTGGCCATAAGGATTGAGACTGCAGACTTGGAGTGGGGTAGAACGAACGGCAGGCTGACTTTCGGCAACTGCTGATGAGACGTCAGGGTGTGTTTTTGTGCATCGCGCGTGGCTGGCTGGCGCTGCAGCGAGGACTGGCCCGAGCAGTTCGCTGCGGCTGAAGCTCGAGCGGCGACTTTGCGCAGAGAGGCACGCGCAGCCTTCAGCAGCAAGCAGCAGTTGCTCGCGTCCTTGCGAGTCTTACAGGCGCAGAAGAAGGAAGTAAACATGTACAAGGAGTTACAGGAGAAACTCGTTCGTCCCCACCCTTGATCCTCCCTATTCCCTCATTTCGCTGCGCTATTTTTTTCCTGATAGGCGCTTCTGCGTTTAGGCACTTGCGGCGATTGCACTTGCTCTCGGTGCCTCTGAGTATGCCTTTGATATAGAGCAGCCAAGGGTGTTCCCCTGCCTGCAGAGCAGATCTCCTCGGCATTTTGCCATGGCTTCGCTCTTGTGGTTGCGTGCTGCCTGCTTCTTTTCCAGGAGAGGCACCAGCGCGAGTCGCTCTTGCTGCAACTCTTTGTCGTGGATCGCCGTGCAGCGCAGCTGCACGAGCTGGAAACTGCCGAGACAGCACGAGCTGGAACCCTTCTGCTTGAGCTGCAGCAAAAGCTGCAGCAAGCCGAAACAGCCGATCAAAAGCGAATACGCGTCTCCTTGCAGTTAGAGCAGCGAAAAACCCTCACAAAGAAACAGGCAATCAAGACCAGCCTTGTGGTATGTTGCCACGAAGTGCTTAAATGCGTTTGAGAGAGCGCAGCCGTTATGCTGCTGGTACGAGGATCGACCACTTTGCGTCTTTCTTCCAAGAGTCCTCTGTTCGTCGATTAGGGAGGGAATCTCTTAGTTCGGGTGCTTTTGCCTCTCTTTTCTGTGTCTGGCTGCACAGCGTGCGGAGATGGTCGAATGTCTTGAGAGACTACGTTTCGCGGAGCAACAGCAGCAGCAGCAAGAGCATAAGCTGCTGCAGAAGCAGCAGGAGTGCAGCAAGCTGCGAGATCTGGAAAATGAAGTAAGAATGACGCACAGCCGTGCCTCCTGTAGACGTTTACTCTTAAGTCCTGGTGAGCAGCTCGTCTGTAGCATTCCCCGAGTAGACTGGCGGGATGCTCACAGATATAGGGGAGAGGCAGCGAGGCACACAGTGTCTGTCCATCCTGCATGTAGAGGAAGAAGAGTTTGTCATGCCGGGGAGCTGAGAAGTGAGGTGGTGTGCTCCAGTTTCAAACACTGGAGGTCTCTCGGCAGCGTTGTGTATGTTTTGTGGATATTTTGTGTATTTGTGTATATTTTGTATACGTGTGTATGTGCATGTATGTGCATGTATGTGCATGGTGTGTGTGTGTGTGTATGTGCATGTGCATGTGTGTGGCATCTGTGCAGCTTTCTGCCGAAGTTATCCGGCTGTCAGACGAGCAGCACCGTATCAAGGACGATGTGGAAGCGAAGCAAAAGTTTTTGCGGCAGAAGCTATCGCAGGAGCAGCAAGCCAATTTGCTGCAGCTGCAGCAGGTAGCAAGCGGCAGACTCGCCGAACTCAAGCAGCAGCTTGCCACCAAGAAGCCGCTTTTGCAGCAAGCCACGAGCGCCCTTGACATCGTACGGCACTTGCACATAGTTTAGCCTCTTGCTCTCTCGTCTGGTCGTTGCATGCATGCAACGCTTACGTCTGGCTAGCAGGCAGCCAGTGGGGGCATTGGTAGCTCTGGTAGCAGCAAGGTTGCCATCTCTAGCGTCCTCCGCAACGTGAACGACTGTTCTGCTTACCTGAAAACACCCGAAACGCATGCGCTGACCAGATTCAGAATCGACGCTTCCTGCCGCTGCATGCCACAGTTCAAGATGTCTGTCTGCGATTTGAGTGCTGGGCTGTAGCTCGAGAGAGAGTGCGTAGAACTTGAACGACGTATAGCCTGTTTTCGAGAACTGGGAGTACGTAACTGTCTGACTTCCCTCATGATGATGATGCTGAGCGAGTGGTCAAGAGGAAAAAATGCTTGCGAGAAATTGTGAAGGCCTTTAAGAAAAGCGACAGTTCCTCCTCCCGCTGATGCTGCTCCTGCTGCTGCTGCTCTTGCTGCTGCTGCTCTTGCTGCTGCTGCTCTTGCTCTTGCTGTTGCAGGACCAAGAGCAGTTGCAAGAAAGCCAAGCGTGTTGTGGCTGGATGTTGACGATGCGAGACTGTTGCTTTCTGCTGTGCTGTGCCTTGCGCAGAGCGAGGCGCAGCAGAAACAAACGGCTGCTGCAGAAACGCTTCAGCGGCTCCTGAAGGAAGCTGCTGGTGTCAAGGAGGCTATGGCAGAAGCCCATGAGCAAACCAGAGTGCGTTCAGACTCCCCCCTGCATTAATTGGGAGCTGCCTCTGTTCCCCAGGCCTGCATGGCGTGCCGCTGCCGATTTTTTCGCATGCTGTTCAGCATCCGCAGCCGCTAAAGCTTGCATGCGTCGCAAAAGTACGCGCGCTTTGTGTGCCTCCACAAAACAGCGCGTGTCGGACACCTGGCTGCTGTATGTGCTGCGCGACGCAGACAAGCGCAGCTCGCCGTGAGGAACTCTTGAGGCTCCAGAAGGATTTGCAGGAGCAGTTGGCTCTCGTGCGAGGCTTGCAACACGATTCGAATCAGCATCAGCAGCTTTTGCAAGTCTATGAAGATCTGCGCACGAAGGCGATGCTGCAAGATTCGTTGTATGGTACTGCGGGAGAGTGTTGCAGCCCCTCGAACAAGCGATTCGCGCTTGCAGTTGCTGCAGCTGTCGGCCGATGGAGAAACGCACTCGTAGTGAAGAATGTTGCAACTGCCAACGTACGCGCATGCCGCAGCGGCTCGTCTTTATTAGCCTTGGCACCTCTCAGGGAGGCATGGTGCCCTAGCCGTTTTAGTGATGGCTTCCCTACGCATGCATACTCGGGGCCGTTGACTCGCCTCAAAGCTGCAGAGGAGCAGCCGCTATTCCCTCGCAGCAGACATGCATGCATATGTGTCTGTGTCTGTATGTTGGTCTGGGTGTATGTGTGTGTCTGTGTGTCTGTGTCTGTATGTGTTTGTGTGTGTCTATGTCTGTATGTGAATGTGTGTGAAAATCGCGCTGTCAAACCGCAAATACACCCATCTCTACTGTACTGATCTGCATGGATGCTCTACACGCGTCTCTTGGATTCTTCGCACACTCCTGCACGCAGGCAGCCATTCAACATCTGAGATCCAACCGCCTTCAAGCAGTGGACTTTCTGCCGCTGGATAGACTGCGGGAGAGACGATCGCGCTGCAGCAGCGATGAACAGCCGGAAATCTCCAGTGAAGGGGGCGCCTTCTTTGAGCCTCCAAACTGCGACAGTTTACCTCCACAGTGTCGGTGGGCTGTGGACTGTGTGGCATGCGACTCTGAGCTGAGAGCTGTTGTTGAGGTAAGTTCGGATTTCTCGTGTTGTTGCATGCATGTGGAGGCGGCTTTTTCGCCTAGTGCCATGGCTATTGCCTCCTTCCGTGTTGCACAAGAGCCCACACTATCGCAGACGCTATCTGCTCACTCTCTGCTCGCTATCTGCTCGCTCCCTGCTTTTGCGTGCAAAAACACGCATGCCTGCTCAGAGGTCCTCTGTAAGCATGGTGAAAAGCAGCCTCTATCCACGCTATTCCCCCCTTCCCATGTGTGCAGCAGCAGGCAGCACACGGAAATTTTTCTCGCAATCAGAAACTTTTACACCTGCATCATGTCCACCACCTACACGCGTAAAGGCGCTGTGCGGGAAGAGCAACCCTCTGAAACACACTGATGGCTTCTCAAGCCATCAGTGTGTTTCAGAGGGTTGCTCTTTCAAGGAGCCTTGATGTATCTTACCACGCATGCGTGGCGAGGATGCGCGCATATGCACATATAGGCGTGTCTGTGATCCTTTTTAAATGCTTGTGTGGGATCGCAGTTCGTCTTGTCTGACTGCATCGTTGTTCCCTCCCTCATTGTTGCCCAGCAGCTAAAGGCAACACCTGCCTTCAGCAAGTTTAGGTTTGTTTCGCTGGAGGGAGAACGATTGCAGCACAGCGGAGTTTACGCCATCGACTCTGGTGCGGCAACAGCGGCTATCCCCAACGCCACAGGCCGAATGCATGCCCTTCAGCATGACGAACTCTTGCGCAGAGCAGAGGAAATCCACAAGGAGCTTCACAAGATTGATATTCTCGAGGTATATTTGTGTGTATGTATGTGTGTATGTATATGTATGTGTATGTATGTATATGTATGTATGTGTATGTATATGTATGTATGTGTATCTATGTATGTGTATGTGTATGTATGTATGTGTATGTGTATGTATGTGTATGTATGTATGTATGTGTGTATAGATGTATGTGTATGTATGTATGTGTATATATGTGTGTATGTATGTATGTGTATGTGTATGTATGTATGTGTATGTATGTATGTGTATGTATGTGTGTATGTATGTGTATGTGTATGTATGTGTATGTATGTGTATGTGTATGTATGTGTGTATATATGTATGTGTGTATGTATGTATGTGTATGCATTTGAGCATGCGCTCTCTGCGTGCCAGGGGTGGTTCTATGATAGCCACAGGGGGGAGAATCGGTGCAAAGTGGGCAGTATACAGCACAGAAAAGAGGGGAAGCGGGCAGACTTGCCTAGTCTTTGCTGGAGCGTTGAGAGCAGCATGTATGTCATGTCCTTTCAGACTCCTTCCACACACACACATCCGGAGATCTCTGGAAGTTGGTGTGCTGGCTACTTTGCGGTGTGGCATCCTTCTTTCTGCAGAGCGGTGGATCGGAGATTTCTCAGAGGCGGCAGCAGCAGCTAGACAGATTGCACAGGTTAGCGCTCCAGCAGCAAACCAAGCAGAAAGCGTGGGAGCAACAACAAGAGCAGCAGGAGCAACAGCTGCAGCAGCTGTTGCAGCAGCACGCCCAACTGAGGGAGCGATGCGACATCCAAAAGCAGCGTGCAGCAACCCTCGCAAAAGAAGTTGAGGAGGTAGGTAGAGGACTACATATATATATGTATATGTATATATGTATATGTATATATATATATATACCAATGAAGCAAGCTGCTTGCGGGGTGTTTCGAAGAACTTCTCTGTCTGCAAGAGGCCCTTTGAATAAAAGACTCCAGGAGCACGAGCATCCTCGCTTCTCTGCGTTTTGGTGCAGCTTGTACCACCCTAGCATGCATGTATGCCAGAAAGACGCAACGCATGCACTTATTTATTACCGTCTCCTGCGCTTTGGTGTGTGCTTGCATGCGAAGCTGCAAGAGGCTTCCGCCGATGCGCAGGCAGCCGCGATGGCCAGGCTTTCCAAGGAGCTTAAACTGTCGCAGGCAGAGTTGCGCGATCTTCTGCTGGAGCGAGAGCAGCAGCAACAGCAGCGAAGCCTTGCTGCGAAGCTTCACGTGCAGCAGCTGCGGCTCGAGGCGGAGCTGAAGGACTGCCGTAACCGTCTGCAGGATGCCACGGAGACAGCAGAGGCTGCAGGTGCAGAGCTCAAACAGCAGAACCTACGTGACAGCCTGACGCAGCAGCTCGCCAAATACGAGCAGCAGCTGGAAGCCGCAGAGCAGCAGCACCACGAGAGGGTCGAGCAGCAGACGCAGCAGCAAAAGGCTTTGCAGGAAGTAGAGGGGCAGCTGCAGCAACTGAGAGACGATTCGGATCGATTGCTGCGGGAGAAGGCAGCAGCAACGGCAGCAGCAGTCGCAGCGAAGCAGCAACAGCAGCAACAGTATGCAGAAGCGGTTCATGTATTGAGGCAGGCTGATGCACTTGGCGTAGAGCTGCCCTTGCAGGTAGGAGCTGCAAGGCGCCTACCCTTGAGCGACTTGCTCCAGTAGTAGTATGGCCTGAGGAAGGGAGGGAGACGGAAGAGACACATCTGCCCCTGTTTAAATTGCATGATGAGCATCAAATGTCTGCTTTTTCAGCGTGGATCGTGGTCCGATGTACAACAGTTTCTCTCTGCATCCGAAGCCTCGCACCAGCCAGACAGCTTTTCCAGCCTCAGCGCTTTCTTTTCGATGGACTGGAACGCCCTCCCCTCCAACCTTCGGCAGGTAAGGCGAGAACGTGTTTCTCCTGCGTGTGCAGTCAGCGCATGTGCGAACAGCTCTAAGCGGGAGCGGCATAGGTTGTGCTAGCAGGCAGGAGAAAAGGCACTCAATCAAGACACTCTTGAAATTCATAAGGCGGATGTGCAAGGAGCAACCACCTGCCAGCGTTTTCAGCGGCGATCTGTGATACGTTGACTGTGTGCTGCCCATGCAGCTTTTTGAACGGCATCTGGAGACTCCCTCGCGGCTGCGCGCTGAGCTGGCAAGCCTGCAGCAGCAGCAACAGCAGCTGCAGGAGCAACTACGCGAGCTGAATCCGAATTTCAAGGTCGATCAGAAGCTCGAGGAAGTGAAGACACAGCTCCAGCAGCAAGAGGAGGCTCAGCAGTCGCAGCGTCTTGCGGCAACACAAGCAGAAGATGACCTAAAGGCTTTGCGTATCAACCGGAAGAACGCTTTCATGCGCTGCTTCCTCCACTGTCAGAAGGTCCTTACCCTCATATTTGCCCACTTATCTGCCGGAGGGCCTCTACAGGATCAGCAGGAGCTTCATCAGGAAAGCTCCAACAACTTGTTGATGCTGCAAGACGACTCGATGGAGCCGTGGCAGCAGCAGCAGCCTCCCCACCAACGCCATCAGTTCGACTGTGTCGTTGGTCAAGCCTTTCTTGACCTCGAAAGCTCGACAGCCCTTGCAAGAGACGAAGAGCCTTTCAACTGGTTAGCCTGGAGGCGTCTACTGGCGTTGTTCTCGCTATTGGCTGCACAACAGCACCACCCCGCTGCCGTAGAGAGCCTGCGCTCCTGCTACCCCTACTCGAGCTGCATGCCTGTGACTACTGACTGTGTCTTCAGCGGAGTCTTGATGGTGTGCAAGTATCCGACAAAGCGCTTCATGGAATTCGGGCAGCTGAGTGGTGGCGAGCAACACCTTGCAGGTCTTGCCTTGTCCCTTGCACTCTCCTCGTTCAATCCCGTGAGCTGCGCCTCCTGCGGTGCATCCTCGCAGTGTAGCCACGAGTTCGATTTGTCACCAACAACGCGCATGCACCATTCTAGCACGGGGAGGCGACATGCCTGATGCCGCTTTCTGCTGCTGCCGTTTCGTCCTGCTGGAATGTGCTGCTGTCCAGACACCGAGTGCCATGCGGCCTGCCCCGGGGATCTCCCTGTAGACTGGGGCAGCCGCGCGACACACGTGGCGGTAAGCATGAGCAGAGGTTTAGTGTTAGAACTAAAGTATACACGTGTCGAATCTTCAGAGGGTTCCGTTTCTGCTACTCGACGAAGTTGACGCGCATCTGGACAGGACGCGCCTGGGCCGCCTTGCTGCGTTGATTCGGGAGATATCAGGAAACAACAAGATTCAGTCGGTATTCGTAACACACAAGGAAAAGTAAGGCGTCTCCACAAGCCTTTGAAGTAGAAACGGATGTTTGTGAATCTATGTGGATGAATTCTCAAATGTGGTCAAGTGCAGTGTAGGAGGAGCACCTTTTTATGAACCACAGGTCTGGCGTACTTCCTAGACATCTTGTGCATCGAAGACTGTTCGTTGCTGCTTTAAAACCGAAAACGGGGGGCCCTTCGAGTGGCATTGTGTCCACTGTCCTTGCAGGCTGTTTACTGCAGCGGATCTCCTTATTGGTGTCGTAGGGGATGCCGCCCGTGCGGAGTCGCGCTGCTTTCTCTTCGACATTCGACCATACAGACAGCGCGAGCAGCCCTGTCCATTCGATCGTTCTGACGTCCCTCATCCACAGACCGTTTCGTCGTAAACCTATTGAAGAGGGGCTGTGTTTGTACTTGGAAGCGCCAGGGCAGCTGCGCATGCCGCGCTGCACCGAAGAACATAGGAGAACTTGTACCAGTCTCTAGAGTGTATAGCTTCGACCTCCTAGCCTTTTCTGTGACTTCCCGTTTTCGTAAAATGACCGCCAACGGTGGAGAATCAGGCTTTCAGCCTGGCTACATATATTCATTATGACACATGCAAAAAAAACCCTGGCGGTTGACACCCAAATCCGGGCTTCTGTAGAGGCACTTTTAACGTGCGTGGGAGCATAAGGGACTGCGGATGCGTTTTTTCACCGCATCGATGGCAGCCATTTCGCGTAAATCGGCGCAATAAGCTATAGCCTAAACCAGTGCGATCGGTAGACATGGACTCCGACGGGCGCCTCACTGTAAAGCACTGCGGAGAGTATAGTTTCTCAGTCCATGATGCCGATTAGTCTATTTGTTCAAAGCCACATGGAAACGCTGCTCCTGATCCTCCGCTGACTGTGTTTCTCCACGCTTCATATTTTGAAATTGGAGCGGATCGACTGCCGGTGGGCACTTTCCTGGCCTGGCCGTCTGGGCAGACATCTGCATGAATTACTACTATCATCGACGCTTCGGCACTCTGGTTCTCTATAAACTACACCTAATAAGTCATGCATACGCCCAGGGGTAAAAGCTTTACGGTAACATGCGTCGTAAGCACCACAGCTTACTTTTGGTTGGGGAGGTGCAAAACTCTTCGGCCTGCTGGAGGCAAAATAATGAGGGGAAGTTTGTTTCAGGGGCGGACGAGGTAGCGGTCCACACACGTTTAATATCCAGTGTATAGCCCCACGGCGTCAATTTACAATCTATATGGCCATGAAGTGCTATTCATATGTACTGTCACTGTGTGTTGATCAAGCGCAAACCTTTGATGGCATTCTGAATACTCATAAGGCTCCTTTCACGCTTCGCGCTCACAAACATGCGAGTGCCCTGCTGGACGGATGCCCACAAACCGGGGCAGTTTTCTGTGCGAAGGCGCCACGCAGCGCGTACGCACACTGCAGGCACTGGCATACTCTCCTAATTTCACGGTCTGCAGTTATCGGTAAACGAATTTTAGTTTTGCAAAACAGCACTTTGTTTTGTCCGATCCACAATTTTCCTCCGCCGAACTGATTAAGCGTTCGGATGCTTGTAGAGTGCCTATGATGCTGTTCAACTTTCGGTTGCGTAGTTCGCTGGTTGCACTACGGAGTTCCAGGGCCCTTCCGCCAAAATGCCAATAGGCTATGGACATCTGAAGATGTGCTGTGATTTGGCAAGCGTTCTAGGAGTTTTGGCTGTAGCAATGTATCATGTGTACAGAAAGCATCCTACGGGTCTTCCACTAGGAACGAGTGTGCCCTCTGCTCTGGAGAAAGTGTTCTCTAGAGAGCATCTTGACAATTCGCGTGGAGTCGCAAAGCCATTTGTAAGAGGACGTTATTCCTCTGCAAGACACGTGCTGGAGAGGCAGATTATTGAAAGTTTTTCGATGGCTGTGCACCAATGTACTGTACATCAATAAGGGCAGTTCGCAAACAAACGAATTCTGCGCGAATATCTCTCCATGCAAAGAGGCAAAGGCTTATTAATCAGAAGAGGCACTGCGAATGCCGCAGGAGCTGCTGCGGGTGCGTTTTCTAAAGCAGGACCACAGCTGTCAGACGGCAAGCTGCACATTGTCCCACAAAAGAGAAGGACGATTCCTTTCAAAATTAGTTTTCGATGAACAAGGAATTAAGTCCTATTCATCAACGAGTCAACTGTCTCGTCCATGGCAAACTGGTGCCAGGGTCCTTCTGGCCCCTTGGCCGAGCCTCTCATTAAATAGTGCCGTTCTTAGTTGCAGAAACGTCCAATAAAACACGGCAAAATTAAAGGCGTTGTGCAGCTCATGGTCCGGCGTTACATACGCGCAAAGATGGGGAAGGATGCAAGTAAGGATTGGCGAGTTAGCCCTCTGAACCAGCATCGGCCGCACACGAGCATACGCATGATTTTATTCATGCAGTAGGCATATCTAGAAAAAGTGCACTGTAAGATCGCTTGGACTAGGCTGCTGGGTGGGGGAAACATAGCGATCGGCGTACTTGGCGGGGAGCGCATCCGGCTGTGATGCATCAAAACAGAAAGCACGTCTGAACTTGTGGATTCTGTTTACGAGGGCCTGCGAAAACGAAGGCGACATCATCCAGTAAGTTTGGATTTTTCATGCAGATTGCGAGAATGCTGTCGCCGTGAAGAGATACAACGCGCTAAGTGAGATGAACTAGGAAACGGGGGTTGGAAAAAATTTGTGCACCGGGGATTCGTAGCCATGACCAACCTGAAGCTGCGCCTCTTCGCGATACTCTGGTGAGAGTTCCAGCAAAGCGTCACTCGCGCATGCCTCTTCTGATGCACTGCCAGTGCGGTGGAGAACCCCGAGAGCAACAAAGCCCTCAACTCCCCGACTGATGGTCGGGAAGGAGGAGCTTTCATAAAACGGCTGCAATGACAACTCGCACTTCCAGCGCACGTCTGCCCACTCACATTCACCGCCACAGGCTTTCTCAACACTATCAGAGTCCCGACATAGCGGCTTGCACACATCTTATCACTCCTAGCTACAAAAAATATACTCGGTTACTCAACGAACTAGAAAAGCAGTAGCCAGCGTTCCCTTGGGAAGTTCACCTCACCACTAGGCCTCCCGCACACCCTCAGCCCTCCTTCCATCACTGACAAAAAAATACCGCTTCCCTTTCGCTTCAAAGCGATTCGAGACGTACAAGAATGCGTTGCTTGCAAAGTCCATCGGCAAGCCAGTGAGCGCGAGCCACCAGCTGATGCTTCTTGAGCTGACGCGCTGCACAGGCGAGAGCAACCCCTGAGTAACAAGAAACGCCACCATAGCAAGCACAACTATCACCCCAAGAAGAAGCCACGAGGTGTCACCAGCCGCCAGCACGGGCTGCCTGCCTCCCTATCCACTACAGTGCAAAAATGGTATCAGCCTTAGCACAGGAGAAGCGTGACGCTCTGCACGCACGCCAGTCCTGAACTGCACCGCGCTGAAGTGTATTTGCATTCAAATGATGCTGCGTTTGCAGGTGCTGTAGCTCACCACCACTGCTATGCACTTGGAGCGTAAATAGCGCATTTCCAAGAGCCCACATGCTATCCACGAAGGGCCACAAGAAGCTGCAAATCAGCAATACCAGCGCCTCTTGTTGGCGATTCAGGGAGAACCGGGGGGGCTGTGATCCGCCGTTACCGCTGTGCCTCGCGAGGATACCCCGCTTTTCCATGAGCAGTACAACCTGATACAAAAGCATGCAGTGCAAAGGACCCCAAATGCCTCTCCATCTGAGTGCAAATAACAGATAACCCCTCCGCAGGTGCCCCTCCAGCCCGTAGATAGACACTGCAGTAGCGAGAGGGCGAGGTACATACACACGAAAAAAACCCTAGATACATTTCTCTCCGCTGTGTGTAGAAGCTCACACTGTCAATCGCGTCCTCCTTGACTTTTCCCGCATACACAAAGTGGTCGCTCATGAGCTTGAGCAGGAAGCGTGTGCTGGCAACAATTTCGTCCATCGTGGCGCCCTCGGTCCAGGCAGCTGCTCCGCTGCACGCGGTAACTGCGACTGCTACGAACGCCTCGTTTGCAAACACGTGCATGCACTGATTGCGGTAGAAAGCCACCAACAACCGAGGAAGCTGCCCTTTAAGGGGTGCCCCCTGCGCGTCAAAAGCCTCTCCGCCATACCTTGAGGCTACCCGCCAGCCTCCGCATTTGCTCTCCGCAATTCCATCCAAATATCTTCCCAGCACTGTCCGAACGCATGCAGAAGGTTCGTACGAGAACCCACATATGCAGGGACTGAGGAGACCCCCTCGAGCGAGCAACTCGTCTCGCAGCCACGCCACTTGCGATATCTGCGGCATATAGCATGCAACACAGTCGCAAGACATTGCGCAACCTGCCGATACACGCGACCGCCTGTATTCCACACACGCATCTACTCATTCCCCTGTGTGCCTTCATGCCGGTGTCTGTACACCAGTCCACGACACCTGAGCGCCTCCCACTCCGTGGACGTTACCTTCACGGCGGAACGCATTACACACACTCACAAGGTCCTCCTCTCGGATGCCATCTCGGTGAAGCGCGAGAATGGTGCAAACCAAAGCCGTCGGTGTAACGTACAAACCCTCCGACAGCTTATCCATTATCCAATTCGAGACACCGCAAACAACCTACAGGACCCGCAACGATTACCACCGCATGCACATTGACCCCTGTGCAGCTGCGCGTACGCTCCATCAAACAAACCCATTTATAACAACAACCCCACCCCCCACTCCGTGGCATAACACGCATTGCATATTCGCTAAGGCTGTCTATGTTTGTTGCTGTGGAAGTCTTTCTATGTTTTTTTCCTGTATCTGTCTCTGGGTGTGGCTGCTTCTGTATTTTTCTGTATGTTTCTGTATGTGTGTTTCTGTACGTGTTTCTGCATGTGTGCTTGTTTCTGTGTTTTTCTGCATGTGTGTTTCCGTGTGTGTTTGTTTCTCTTTGTTTCTGTGTATGCCTGTCTCTTTGTGGGACCTTTAGCTCTACGTGAGGGCCTTTTAGAAAGCGGCTTTTGGACAGAGGCATGCGACTCAAGGCGGCTGCCTTCAAAAGCGACTCTTGAACTCAGCAGCACAGAACTCTTTTAAAGCCCACCTTGCGCTTGAGATCTTGGGAAATAGGAGGCAGCTTGCCGCCGGCTCTGAGAGCTGGATAGCTCTTTGGATGCGTAGGATCGAGTTGCTGCTGCTGCTCGCTTCGTGAAGCCTCCTGTACCGTTTCTCCTTTCCCGGGAGACACGAGGCATGGCTGCCCCATCAGTGGCGGAAGATTGTGAAACTGCGCCATCGGCGAAACGGTGGATTGCTGAAGGGCCCCTAGCAGCGGCTGCAGAGACGATTCTGTATTCCAATAGGCCACCAGATATTCCTGGGGGGATTGCAGCAACAGCGCAGTGGCTCACGCATGCATTTGGATGTACAAGGAGATTCTTAGGCGGCACCCCTTTTGACCTCGGGGAGTGCGCAGGCAGAAGAAGAGAGCAGGCAGAAGAAGAGAGCAGGGAGAAGAAGGCAGAAGGAGACAGCAGGCAGAAGAAGACAGCAGGCAGGCGAAGACAGAAGGCAGAAGAAGGCAGCAGGCAGAAGAAGACAGCAGGCAGAAGGAGACAGCAGGCAGAAGAAGACAGAAGAAGACAGAAGGCAGAAGAAGACAGCAGGCACAAGAGGGCACAAGAAGACAGAAGAAGACAGCAGGCAGAAGAAGACAGTAGCAGGCACAAGAGGGCACAAGAAGGAGACAGAAGACAGCAGGCAGAAGACAGAAGGCGCCTTGGATAATGACAGAGAGCAGGAGACTGCAAGGAGGAGAGTGCGACTGACTCTGAAGCTCAGAGGCGTCATCACGTTGATGCTTGCGGTGCCAAGCGGCCTATACCCTGGACCGAATTGGGGAGGCAATCCTTTAGATCCTGGACCGGCTTCGAGTTTGTGGTGATACGACTTGTCTGCAAGCAGTCGCGTTGCCTTCAGCACACGACTCAGAGCCTGTGACAGACGCCAGACAAAACTGGCGAAGCGTGATGTGTGGGAGTTTCATTTTAAGACCCCCTTCTCAAAAAAACACACTGCCAGGGCAGCTTTGTGCTGGCGCTGGTGATGGCGGGAGGGGGGTGGAGAAGGGGGAAAATCGTTTTTCCGCAGTCAGGAAAAAGAGCAGGTAAAAGGGATGCATGCATGCATCACGCAGGATGCATGCAGAGAACTATACAGTGCCCCCTCTTGCGCGCATGCTGACGCTGCACGAATGCCTTTAGATGCATCTGTACTGGGAGCTAGGGTGCTGCTTCTACCGACAGACGCAAGAGCAAGCACAGGCAGACCTATATACGGGCAGACGTAGACAGAGAGAGAGAGAGAAAGCAAGAGACAAAGAGAAAGAAAGAGACACACCTCAGCCTTCTTAGGCTCGCCTAATAGCTCTTGAGGAAAGGTTTCTGCCTCGAGGACCTTGTCGTAGGAAATCGCCATAGGCACGAAGGTGACATCTATAGAAGTGCCATCTAGCAGCATTTCCGCGATGTGGCTCAAGATGCCTGTCTTGGGGGGAAGCATGAGGCCTAAGAAGACAAGCGTCACGGAACGAACAAAGCCCAAAAAAGTCACCCTCGAAACACGCAACGTCAAGACACCCCTCCCCGGCACCCTCCAATAAACTCTCTGTCCTCTTCCGCAAGAAGAAGTGTGTCTGTGTATCTGTATTGACATTATGGCCCCCCCCATACACAGAAACGTAAATACGCCGAAGGTAGAGAAACGTCTGACGCGAACGCAGCGCCAGCTAAAAGCAGCAGGATTTCAAAGCGTTCTCGGGAGGCTACACTGGGCGAAACGTTCCCCAAAGGCAGGCATATTACGCATCCATTTCTTCGGAAAAGAGCACCCCAGCTGTAGGGGAAGCCTCAAAGACCGTGCAAGAGGACCGAAAAAAAAACTACGCCAAAGGAGAGAGAAGCCTCGCCTGTTTTGCTTCGGCCGCCTTCCAGGAAGACCTCCAGAACGCCGTATCTCCTGGCAACGCATCCCACGTAAAACTTGAGCAGCAGGCGCCTCAGCTTCTGCAAGAGCACTTGTTCCTGCCTTTCTCCTTTGGCCTTGCTGCCTCCGCGAACCACGAAGAAAGCCCCCGCACGCCGCAACACACGATGCACAACAGCGATCGAGCCGAAAGCCTCATCGGCCGCTATAAAGGGCAGCGGTATCCCGTAAGTAAAGCACACGTAGGAAACTAGAAGAAAATCCTGAAGGCGGACACAAAAATTCGGCGCAGAGATATATATGTATTTATATATGTAGATACATGCATATGTATATATGTATAGATAGCAGCAACAGAGACATAGTTGTGAAGGCCGAACCCCGTTAAATGCCTTTTCTCCCCTTTCGCTGCTAGTCAGCGTAAAGCGAGAGCAACGGCATCAAGAGCTCTGCAGTGTGGCAGCCCCAAATCTACGAAACAACACGGTCGCGGCACCTCGCAGCCTGCCTCCCGTCCGCCAGTCTGTACAGGCATCTACGAGCCGAAGAGAAGGAGCGAGACGCACAGACGGGGGCATCCCTAGCACAAACCTACCCAGGCATGTATCCACAGAGAGACGCACAGTCAGACACAAACGGAAAGACTCGAATCGGCAAAGCGGAGAGCAGAGGAGCAGCTCTTGCCCCTAAAAAGGGGGGAGGGATGCCTCTACCCGGTGCTCCTCGATGCAGATGCGATTTCTCACCATGTAGCTCCTGTGGGTAGGCAAGAGCAATACAGGTCCAGGGGAAGTCTGGATAGCCTTTTTTAAGGCTTGCATGTGTGTTTCCTCGACAATGATGCGGTCGAAGAGCCTAAAGAACGCTTGGTGAAAGAGGCCGGCAAGCAAAACGATGGCATGAGGATGAATGCTGCCAGCCATCCCAGTGTACATACGGCGCACCTCCTCAGTCACCTCCTGCTGCACCTCCTCCGGCGTTTCTGCAGAGGCATGCCCATCAAAATAAAAGGAGGCCAAGTAGATCCTGACGGAAGAACAAGCGTTCTGTACGCTCCACTACCCCCACTGCAACCCCCTTTTGCCCTTCTTCCCACCACCTCGACTCGGCGACCACGCGGAATTTGAATATATGTGTATACACGCCTCGACGCACGCTGCAAGGGGCCTCGCTTCTTCCTCTTCTGCAGCCGCATAGCAGCCAGCCTTGCCATCAACGGCTGCAAATCAGGATGCTGCAGCACGAAAGCCTCGATCGAATCCGCATTAGGGCTTGGCCTCAGCGGGGGAGCAGCCAAAACAAACTGCACTCCTGCCGGAGAAGGCAAAGAGAAGGTGGGTGGCGTAAGGGGCGTCGACATCAAGTAACGCTGCAGAGCATCCATGTACAGCAGCGGCGGGGAAGGCGGCTCGCACGCTGCGCAGACATGTACACACAAACGCACTGACCAGCAGCCAGACCTGCATATACACAATCGGGGAAGACTGCAACTCAGCTAAACAAGCGGGAAAGCATCATACATATATATCTATATACATATGTATGCGCATACATATATATATATGTATATATATAGATAAACACACATACATACATGCATGTACATACATATATATATATACACACATACATATATATATATATACACACATACATACATGCATGTACATGCATATATATACACACATATATATACATACATATATATATATACACATACATACATACATATATATACACACATATTTATACACACATACATACATACATATATATATACACATACATACATATATATATATATATATATATACACATACATATACATATATATATAGCCCCATCAAAGGCCTCAGCGAAGCGTCCAGCAGAAGAACACGACTGCTCAGCTAAGCCCCCTTCAAGTTTGCTGCAACCCGGGAGCATGCATTTTTGTGAAAAAATAATCAGCAGGCATTGTGTGCTGCGCGGCGTGCAGTGCAGGCAGCAAGGGGCCTCTGTGCGCCGTTGATCGGATGGCTAGGATTCTGAAGACCTTAAATCTAGTGGTGCAAATGCGCCTAGCTGTATAGACAGCTGCTAAACCCTTGCCTCGCGACTTGTGAGACGTATACAGAGGAAAAAAACGGCCCGAGAGCGCGAAGACGCAGCACCCCTGCGCGGATATGTGGCTACAGCCTCTCGCCTCCCCCCTCCCCCCTCCCCCGTTCTTGAGTTTCTTCTCTGCTACAGGGGGTACCAAGCACGCTGCATGCATCCGCGCTCATACCTGAAGGTTCCCGAAGCAGCCATCTGGCGATGCCGTAGAAGAAGTAGTGAATATACTCTCTCCAATCGATGTCTTGTACACCCAAGAACCACGTGGATCGCTCCTCCGGAGAGAGCATGAGCTGCATTTGTGGAAGGTTGCGCTGTTCAAAAATCCATTCTTGGTATGAAAAGTGGTGAAGCGCTTCCGCTGCCTTCTCCGCCTTGAGAAGGCCGGAGTACAACAAAGACACCCCGCGGCTGGCCTTCGAGGAAGCAGGCAAGATGCTCGACACAACGGAAGACGCAACGGCTCCCGGCAGTTTTTGTTGGATAAAAAAGCGCCTGTACATGCAAAGAGCGCAGTAGATGCCTTCATCGGCAGGCATAACCAAAAAGACGAAAGAGCAACGATGACATACGCAAGTTCATACAGTTCAAACAGCATCAGAACAGAGGCATCAGCGGCCTCATGTAGACACCATCCGCATGATCAGAAAACATCAGGAAAAACAAAAAGCATTATGAGGCGGCATGAAGGAAGTCGCCTAGAAAGCGTCATAGAAAGCATCAGTTCTTTTCGAGTTCATTTTTTTTTCGAGTTCATGTCGTGTTTTTTTCGAGTTCATGTTGCGTTTTTAAATAGCTCATGTAGAATCCCCCGCAGGGGTACATGCAGCATGCAGCAGCATGGCCTACCGTCGGAACTGCTTGAAGTCAGTATCGAAGTAGGGCGACTGTAGCTGTCGTCTCAGGCGCGAGTAGTAGGGGCAGAGCATGTTATATTCTCTCCCGTGAATCAGGAGGTCTCGCCAGTATGTGGGGTTTATGTCGCTCGTGCAACTGTGAATGACGTATATGCCTGGTCTTCCTGCGGCTGCAGCTGCCGCTGCTTCCTCCTCCAAATCGCGTGCGTTCTCGGGAGCAACGGCAGGCGCTGCAGCCGACGCAGCTACGGCTACAGATGCGTGCGTAAAAGGAGGCGGCACTTGCACTGGACACAGCATGCAGTTGGGGTCGACATGCTTTGCTGCGGCTTGTGTGGCTGTAGCCGCTACCCCGTCTGCAGCAGCCGCTGCAGAGTGGTACTTGTTGATCAGTGCAGCGTTCGATGCAGCAACTGCGGCTCCACATACAATCAGCGAGTCGGCTACGACGTCTACGGGAACCTGATCGCCAATCAACTGGGGGTTCGCGGGGAGGCATTTCAAGATACCTAGTGCACCTGAGAAATGGCCATGCATGCATGCATGCATGAACGAGATTTGCGCATTTTCCTCACACATTCACAGCTCATGAGATCCTCTCTCGTTTTCAAGAGAAAAGGCCCTCTGGATCCGCTGGGGTCAAAGGGAAAGAGGAAACTGACGCATGCATGCATGCATGGATGCGCACTTACAGAGGAGCAGCATGCCGCCTGTGGCATTGACGTTATCTACCCAGCCTCTCTTGGGGTGCTTGTACGCACATCCAATGATGGAGGGTCTTAAGATGCAGATGGGAAAACGGAAAGGCTCCGAGTCGCCACCTAGCACGCTTCGCTGCTGCTTTATGGGCTGGCCGTGATGCGGCTCGTCATTTCTTAATTGCCACTCGCGAGTAATTAGCGCCTCACACAGTCTCTTGGTGAAGGCATAGGTATTGGGGAAACGTCCCAGCAATTGCTTCTCCATGCCTTCAAAGTTCGCCGCATCGTCGCTGCCCTGAAGTATACCGCAGCAGAGTCTCTCGTGTTCAAAAAGATGTGAAAAATGCTTCAAAAACTGCAAAAAGAGGCGTTGTCTATCTACACACGCGGAGACGCAGGCATGTACGCTGCTGCATGCATCCATGAATACGGGGAGATGTGTGTCTGTCCATGCTGATAATAAGCATGCAGTCTGCAAGGCGTCCACAAGCACTCTCTCAGCCTATTTGCATGCCCACTAGACGACCACAATCAGCATCGTTGTCACCACTCCCAGTGCATCCGATTTACTTGCACCCCCACACCCCACCCTCCAGTATTCTCGCGCCATCTCCGATGCGGGAGAAGCAACGCCATCGCGCAAATACCTGTTCCCTCATGTCAATGAGCCGCCTAACGGCGAGATGAACGTCCTCTGTTTCCCAAGGAAGGGGAATAAGGCCCTCCTTCACTCTGCCTCTGAGATCGCTATTCACGTAGCAGGTGGAAGTATGCACAAGCACTTGAAGGTGCTTGCATCGTCTGCAAAAATCTAAAACCCTCAGCGAACCCTCCACGTTGCTTCTGTAGTTATCCTTGAGCGGCGAGTTGAAGTGTACAGACGCTGCCATGTGAATCACGACGGACACCTCTTGCTGGATAGCTTCCGCCTGACGAATTCCAAGATCTGCACTCAGGAGATCTCCTGCCAAAGCCTCTACCTTTGCGGCCACGAAGGAATCGAATGAGGATCCATGCTGATCCCTTAGCTCATCAAAGACGCCGCTCGCAAGCACGCTGCTTCGCAAGCGTTCCTCTGCCGTTCCCCCTGGTAGTGGTCGCAGCAAGAGATACACCTTGCGGCAGTCGCAGTGCTGCAGCAAGCGCGCGAGGACAACTTTCCCCACGAAACCACTCCCTCCCGTCAGCAGAACAGTCTGCCCCTCGTAAAACTCCCGCACCAACCCCATTGTTAATGGATGCGTCTTTGCTGCAGAGGATGCTCCTGCGGCGTGGGAGACTCTGCAGGACGACGCTGGAGGGGCAGCGGCCGCTGCTGCGACGCTCCGTCTATAAATTTAGGAATAATACACGGAAGGAATGCGGTAAATCGAGCTGCTAGTGCTGCTGTTTTGTGGCCGTGTGCGCCGCTGCTGCCCAAGCTGCCCTTGCTGCACGCTGAACGACCGGAGCAGAGAATGAGTCGCCTGCGGCAGCTGCCGCCGACACCACTAGTTGTTGCTGCTGGAAAGCAATTATCCAGCATAACTGCTACTAAACAATTAGTAGGCAGCTGAATGGCGTTGCAACACTGTCAAATGAAGCGGTAGGTCGGGGGTCACTACAACCCTGTCCGCTTCACCCTCCCAAAGAAGCGGTGCGCAGCAGCAACAGCAGTAGCCACTGCAGGAACGGCACCTCCCGAGACACCGTCAGATCTGCGAAGAGCCTTCCGTAATAAAATATAAACCCTTTGACGGAAAGTTGCAGCGGCAGGCACCGCACTGGGAGGAGCAGGAAGAGAGCTGCTACAGCTCCCACACGACGCCTGGCAGCAGCAGCAGCCACAGGATTTTGCATATACCACACTACCAGCTGCAGCAGCAGTGCGTCTCGCGCCCGAATGATGCCGTCTCCCGAAACTAAAGGCACTGGCTCAGTTACAAGAGCACTATAAACGTGCGTTTTCGGCGTCTCAGCTGGCGCCATGTTGTGTCAGCGTTGTAACGCTGGCAGCCCTACTGCGCGTGTCTTCCTTTCCGCGAGCCGACAGCAGAGAACGGCAGCATAGCACTGCACCTGCACCTGCCACAAGCTACTATTGACTCTCCTTGCACCTTCTATCCATAAATATGTGCAGCAAAAGGCAGAAATAGGGAGATTCAGTGTCTCAGGCAGAGATATATATGGCTTTCCAGGCGTGTTTCATCGGTCCGGCTTGAGGGGGTTCATGTACTATCTACAGGGCTCAAAAGGGCAGCTAATCGAGTTTTGGGAAAAACGAAAAGGAGAATTACTGAAAAGAAGGCCATGGGAAGGTATAGACTGTCGGGGTTGCCTCAACAAGCACGGTGAGGCGCTTCCTCCCAGAGGGTGTATGTGTATCTACGTGTAGCTGGTGTTTCGCGCAAAAACAGCTCCGCGTGCAAGGGGTAGCCGTAAGCCAAAGCTGCACATAGGCACGTTTGATCACACTGCTTCCAATTTTTGTCCTGGGCTTTGCGAGGAATTAGGCATTGCGTAGTTTGGCGGTAGATATACGCTTTTTGAGGATGTAGGCAACACATTACCAAAAGAATCAGCGCTACATGACCGTGCACTATACGTTATACTTTTTGCGAAGCACCGCAATAACGCTTGGCGTGCGTATAAAGGGTGCAGCAATGCCCGCGCACCCTAGCAATGCCTCTCTGTGCCTATGGTGAAACCATGGAGGGTGACGGTGGGGGCGAGGGGAGAAACGCTTCCGGAACAAAAATAAGCAACTTCCGAATAAGCTTTGTATTGGGATTGCAGCTAATCAGTATTGTTCTATGCGGAACCGAAGGGGAATGGCGGGGGTGTCCACTGGCAGAAACGTCTTTTCCAAACCCTGCGAAGCTTGGTAGAAACTTGAGGAGTATCTTTTGTTCGAAAGCGCGTTCTCACACTTTTATTCCTTTATCCCCCTGCAGGGCTCTAGCCTGCGTGGGGAGAGAGAGAGAGGACAACTGATAAGGTGCATGATTCAAATGCTCCATCTAAAGTCTCCCTAGAGAGGCACTTTAATCCATACTCAACGCAAATTACAAAATTATCAAGTGTGTTCTTTCCAAAAGAGCCCTCGCCTTCTGCTCACACCCCTCAGATCTCCAATTGTAGGAAAGAAAACAGCTTGTCGACGCTTCGCTGCACCGTCTAAGCCTTTCGAGCATTCAAGACTGGTTTCAAAAGCGTCTAGCGCATCCGTATACAACATTGCGGCTTTTTGCTTTGAGCTGTATTCGTTCTGCAGTAAATAAGGTGCACGTGCAGGCACGCCCGTTAAAAGATTCTTCACAAACTCTTGGTTGGATGTAACTAGTAGTCGAGAAGGCCCCATTGCAGCAGAGCCCCCCGCAATGCGCTTTGTTGACTCTCACATATACACTCCCGCTGGGAAAAATGAACGTCATAACAATGCATGATGCACAGTGGGGAACGCAATGGCGGCTTTTGCCACATTGAGCTAGTCAACCCTGCACTGCAAGTAACTTTGTACACCAACAGCCAGATTGGGTTGTTAGTTCTTTACGAATTTCCGGAGTTGGGAGTGCACCGGAAGCTCCTCTGCCGCTCCTGCTGCTGCTTTCCTTTCCTGTAAGTTTTGTTGATGACCTTTACCTACTGAAAGGGCTTAGGTGCTGCTTTTGCTATCCTCAGCGTCGTACTTCAGGACGCAGCAGGTGTGATCGATGGCGGCGAGAACCTCCCAAGTGAACAGCTCACACAGCGAGGGACTGTGCAATCCTGAAGCACCGCCTATAGCATGCGGTGTGCTTGTAGGGACAGAAACCACCCTGAAGTGTAGTGGAGGTTTTGTTGTCAGGGCTTTGTCTTGGGAGTCGCGGACCGCATAGTTATCGAGGGTGATTGCTGTGATTACATTCAGGAACCTGTCCAGCTGTTGCGCATGTGGCTGCTCATGAGCTGTTCAAAAGTTGGAACAGGTTCGACTTGGTACTGCATGAAGTAAAGGGGTCATAGAGGGCATGGTCTACTCTCGTCGTTCACGAAAAAAAATTTAGCTGCCCTTCCCGCAGGCATCCCTCCACTCTTTCGCACAAGATTTTGAGTGGGGAGAGGCTGTCCTCATTTGCTCGTAAACAATAGCTCCCATTCGCGCAATCGACCAATAGTTCATTCCGAATATAGCGACAGCCCCTGTCGCTTGAGCCCCCCGTGCCTCCCGCACCGTTCCGAAGAAGTTTACTGCTCATCATTCTTCTGCTTGCCCGAGAAACAAGGCCCCACACTCACGGGCGAAGCTCCAAGTGCACGAAGACGAACTGTGAAGGTGTGGGGGTAGAACAAGGCGCAGCCACTCCCTGCCCGTCAATTTGAAGAAGGGGCTATATTTAAGTTGTCATCTTGCTGCCAGAAGGCGGTGGAGGATCGTCCACGTCGTTGCATCTTGGGGCCCTTGCAAGAGCGAGAGAGGGAGGGAGATGAAGAGGACAACCAAGTCCTCAACCCCTGCCCCCCCTCCCGCCTTCTGCTATTTTAAAAGACGGCCTGTGTGCGCATGCAGCCCCAGCGGGGAAGCCAGAGGCGGTGCGTCAGTGGCAACTGTACTAAATTAATCCTGCTTAGAGTGACCCCGCATTCCGCTGGTCCTCGAGTGTTACCGTGGCCACCAGTTCAAATGATTCGCAGCGCGACTGCTTCTGCCCAGCACGTGTGTACATCCAACGGCACTGTGCGTTTGCTAGAGCTATCTAATCACGTGAGTGCCATTTGTAGACAGTGCCACAGTGTTCGATCGGCCTTTGCCTAAGGGCCCCCTGAACTAGTGTGTCATGCTTTTCGGTTTTCCGTGTGTGCAGGATCATGAGGGGAGAGCGCGCCTTGAGGAGGCGCATGCCCTACTTTGACTGGGCATGCATGCAGGAAGCACAGTGGGGCTGGCTCGTTGGGCTTGCAGCTTAGTGGTCGCGGCGTCGACTTGAAAACGCTGCTGCTGCTACGACTGCTTCAGCCTCTGCCGGTGTAAGTACTGCTTGCGCTTCGCCTGCCGCCAATGCTGTACCATCGTGGTACTCCCCTTCCGCGCTCAAAAAGGACCCTGCCTCTTCTCGGCTAGCTTGCGGCTGGCTATCCCCCCGCCCTGAAAGTGCAGCACCACTGTGAACTCCTTCTGGCAACTGCTCCTCCTGTCCTTGCACAAGCCCTGTCGCAGTGCTCTCCTGCAGACTGACACTTGCCTGCTGCGGCACTTGCGCCTGCTGCGGCACTTGCGCCTCTGGCGGCTGGCTGACGAGTTTCGAGGGAAGCCACGGGAGATCCGTGAGGCCCTTTCCGTTCGAGATGAAGGCTGCACCTCCGTCCTCAGCAGCGTAGAGGTTGTAGCACTTGGTGGGGAGGCCAAGCTCGCGTTCAAGGTAAAGGCAGTACCACATGAGCGAGTTGATGGCTTCGAACAACTGCATCCCTAGGGCCTGCAGGCAGCAGCACACGCATCGTGTAGAGCGGAGCATGAGGAGGGGCCCCACCCATACACAGCAGCACCGAGAGGCACGCTCAGAGCGGCAAAAGCAGCACTGCAGTCTGGATCGATCGCTGTCATGAGGAGGCTCCTCATTCAGCAAGTACCCTGTTGTCCATCCACGCTTCAGCCAGGGAGAACCCCAAGTACTTCATTTTATACGCTCCAGCAATCAAGCCTGTTCGATCCCGACCATGGTGGCAGTGCATCAGCACAATTGGTGCGCGCTTGCTGCTGTAATCGCTGTAATCGCTGCTGCTGTAATCGCTGTAATCGCTGCTGCTGTTCGCCGCCGCTGCACCGTCCTTCGACGCAAGCTTCCGCATGTGCCGAATCGCGCCCTTCTCTCCCCTGGGTGGTCTCTTCTTGCCATGCTTCTTGCTCGCCTTCTGCGTCTGTCCTAAAGCCTCGCCGGCGTCGTCTCCTGCGGCTCCTGGCGGCTGCACATCGCCCTCCATCTTCCTGCCATCCGAGCAGCAGCCTTTGCAGTGTTTGCATGCGGCGTCCTTTGCTCCATTCGCCTTCGCAGACGCACAGGGAGTCTTCTGCCCCTCTGGAGTTGCCCGCACGGAAGGTGGAGTCGAAACGGCAGCAGCAGCAGCAGCTGCAGCAGCAGCGGCTTCAGACCGCTGATCTGCTGTCTGCTGATCGGCTGTCTGCTGATCGGCTGTCTGCTCATCTGCTGTCTGCTGATCGGCTGTCTGCTCATCTGCTTTCTGCTCATCTGCTGTCTGCTCATCTGCTTTCTGCTCATCTGCTTTCTGCTGATCTGCTTTCTGCTCATCTGCTGTCTGCTCATCTGCTTTCTGCTCATCTGCTTTCTGCTGATCTGCTGTCTGCTCATCTGCTTTCTGCTCATCTGCTTTCTGCTGATCTGCTTTCTGCTCATCTGCTTTCTGCTCATCTGCTTTCTGCTCATCTGCTTTCTGCTCATCTACTTTGCCCTTCCCGTGGCAGCAGCCGGCGTGTCTGCAGTGCCTGCAGTCAGCTGCGCCTTTGCGATGAGCAGAAGGCCCCTCGGCAAAGCCTGCACCAGCAGCAAAGAGGCTTGCTTCAGCTGCTGCAGTTGCATCAGCGGCGTCGCTAGCAGGTGTATCCGAGCTGCCTGCTGCTGCTCCTCCTCCTGCTGCTGTTGCTCCTCCTGCTGGAAAGGCGGATACAGCAACTGCCGCAGCGGCATGAGCAGCCGCAGAATGCGCCTTATCGTCAGCAACAACACCCAGATGAATTTGCGAGAAAAGCACATCTACTCGTTGATCAAGGAAGTCGCCGCTCCAATGCGGCAAATTCTTCGCCATAGCCACCCGCCGCTAATGAGCACAAACGCATGCACATACATATAGATAGATAAATTTATATGTCTATATAGATGTCTACGTGTCTCTATACCTATGCATCTACCTCTCGATAATAAATAGACAGCCCCTAATAAGTGAAGGTCGAACTAAGAGATATGCGCGCGTCTCAACGAAGAAAAAACACGCAGTGTTGCCTTGAGAAGAAGGATGTGGCGTCCAGTGTTGGCATTAAAATATTGCAAATTGAGGGCCCTTACGCACATCCTCGGGAACGTCATAAGGATTTACGCTTTCGCCGTACAACGGCCAGTGCTGCACTACCGCGATCGGCACACTGGAGGTGTTGTTCTCGAGAAGGCAAATTTCGCGGTTCAGCTCGCATTTCTCGTTGAGCTGAACGTACAGAGAGCACTACACCTTTTGAAGGGCTGTGCAAGAGAGCGTTATTGCCCCTTTTTTCCCCTCATTCCTCATCCCCTTCCAATTCACGCACGACATCATCATGCATCTGAATGGCTAAAGACTGCGCGTGGCAAGCCGCTTTCCTAAGGCGTGTGTCACATAGCCTTTTGCAGAAAGCCCCCTCCCTTCGCTACGCGCTGCATGGCTCAAAGAGCCCTATGCCCTTACGTCGCCGTTGTATCCGTCCCATAGAAAAGAAAAAACGTGAAGCGCAAAGGTGTCAGGGAAGGCTAGGCCTGCAAGTGCTGCCTGCTCCTTCAAAGCCTCCAGCAACTCCTCCTGCTGCAGGGTTCCTGCATGCATGCACAGACACACATACATACACACACACATACACAGACACACACCCATACACATACACAGACACATACACACACAGACACAGACACATACACAGACACACACAGACACAGACACACATACACATACACATACACAGACACACACATACACAGACACACATACACAGACACACACATACACAGACACACACACAGACACAGACACACATACACATACACACAAACATACACACACATACACAGACACATACACACAAACATACACAGACACACAGACACACAGACATATACATACACACACAGACACAGACACACAGACACACATACACATACACAGACACACACACACATGCGCTTTTGTCACGCAGCCGCTTTCCTGCAGAGGCAAAAGAAGCGCCTGCTTGCTTGCTGGAAGCTTGCAGAAGGCTTAAACCTCTCTCCCCCCTCCCCCTCTCCCTCCCGCATCCTTCCTGACCTGCACCTGGCGAAAGCGGCAAGGGCAGCCGAAAGAGGAAAGCGTTTTTCTCAGGAGAGGCGTCAACAAGCCGGACGAGGTCCTCTGCAGCAGGAAAAATGCAACGCGGCCTTATTATATATATATATGCCCCACCTGCCACCCCTTCAAATAGAAACTCCCTACTCCCCCTCCCGACACAGCTGCGCATACGAAACGCAGATCGAAGGATGCGCGTGGCGTTGAGACACGCATGCAATACCTACTCGCAAAAGAAGACGGGTAGCTGTAAGCCGAACACTCGGGGCCGCTGGATAGGTGGCATTGCCGCGATACCCCCACAGGCGCTGTACATACACACACAGGCGAAGGAAGCGGAAAATATTTTCTCTCTTGCGCTGCACACCCTGGTGGACCCCGTACCACCACGCAGCATTTATGCCGCAGCAGCACCCTACACTTGACATCGGCGGGGAGGAAACTTTCACGGAAAAAGTAGAGTTCGAGCTCTTTCGAATGGCGGCTTTGATGAAGCGTGGGGCGGGCACAGAGGGGCGCCGCTGCGTACAACTTCTTCAAATTTCAGCTCACGGGGGGGTTCTGCATTGTACCGGAGGTAGTAGACGCCTCCTAGGGCTAGGAAGAAGAGCAGGAAGCAGCTTAACGCCATCCATTGCGTTTTGCGGCTGTGTGGCTCAAAGCTCGCCAACGCCCCTACGTTCACATTTAAAGAAACAGCACTTGACACCCTGCAGAGTCAGCGCCGTCAAATGGCGAAGCTGGGAAGCTGCACTATGGAGGCACGAATGCCTTCCCTCCAAGAAAATCGCTATGGAAACTATATTGCCAACTCAGATTAGGGTGCGACGAAGCAGGAGAGAAACTCAAGCGGATTTTGGTGGCCCGCGCGCAGGTGACAGTGCAGAAGTACAAAAAAACGCAAAAACGCTATCTGTCCTTCTGCCGGTGCGTGCAGAGAATGCATACATGTATCTATGTGTGTATACATGTATGAATGAATGTGTGTATACATGTGTGAATGTGTGCCTATGTGTATGAATGTGGGTGTATGTGCCCATGTGCATGCATGTGTGCATGTGCCTATGTGTACAAATGCGTCCCATGTACTCCATTCATACCTTCATACGTGACTTGGTAGCCCATGTGTTGGCTGGGGTTGAACCCTTGTTGGGAAGGCCACGGACCATCTCCAGCCCCTCCTCTTTTGCTTTTCTGAGAGCCCTGAGGCGCTCCTGCAATACTGAGGGAGTCTGGCTGCCTTGTTCCCGCCGTCAGGGGGGTCCGGCTGTCTGCGCAGACACCCAACTCCATTGTGAAATCTGAATCCTGCGCGGGTTGCGGTTTGCTGGCACCATGCGGAGGCGAAGGCGATGGCCAAGGCGACAGGCGCCTGGAAGAGGCAAGTTTGACAGCTGACTGGCGAAGAAGGGCGAAAAATTAACTCAGCGTCCAAGTATCGCATCAAGCCCCCGAAACGCTCCGTGGGCATGAAGAAACACGAAAAAGACGAACCAACGGAACAGAAAAAGTGACCAAAATGCCCTGCCTCTTCGATTGTGCTCTTGGTGAGCATCCAAAGCAGCACAGCCGTAAAGAGGAGGGCAAAACACGGGGGGCTGCAGCACTTCGGTAGTCGTCTCATGCAGCCACTCGTTCCGCAGACGTGAGCCACGTAGCAATCGATTCAACGCCTAATTACGAGTTTCAGAGAAAGGAGGCGTACAACCTGGAAGGCTGCCAGGAAGATCGGGGCAGCAGGCACCTGGTCTGATGTTTCCGAATCAATCTGGCAGTCTGGACCTGAGCGGGTGGACCCGTGAGGCGGGAGGGTTTGGACGACTTTCTCATGAATTCTTGTCCGAACTGAAATGCGTAATGGGAGAAACAAAGTTTGTTTAGACGATACAAGGTTTCTGGGGTAGTCGGCAACGAGCAATACGCTGGAAATCTGAGGGGTTCCAGTGGCCCCCCACACAAACGTGCTCCTGCCTTGCACGGCTCACCAAGCTAAACTTTACCCCAGCTCTCCCCTTTTCCCTAATCACGCCTAGCAAAGACTTTGTAGGGAATTTACCGATGTGTTTCACCGTAATGCAGCGTATTTGCTGCAGAATACTGTTAGCTCGATACAAGAAGGCGCACCCGTCTGTGCGTTTTTGCACTAGCTGCTTTTTAGTGCAACTTCGTGTGAATCCTAAGGCCGCTTAGAGAGGATGCACGCAGCAAAATGCCCCCTCGCTGTCCCTCTCCCCTTATGTCGGGCACTACGAGAGGCATACGCAGGAGAGGGATGCAGGGATTCTTCCAGGAACCACCCTCCAACATGAGTCAAGTTTGTATGTAGCTCAAACTTCAAAGGTGTTCCCTGCTAAAGAGGCCGTAGGTAGGTGGTGGAAAGTCACGCTCTATGCGCGCGCGGCTGCACTCTAAAATGAACTTGAACATCACATGCGCGGGGTTGTCAGCAACAAGCGTGGTCAGCGCCTAGATGATGGGCAACCCCAGCGGCGTACGCCTACCAATAAAAACACAGTTCTTGTGCAAACCACGCCTGATATCTAAGAGCCTTCGGGCTTGACGTCTTCCTTTGAAAGCTTCACGCGCCGCGATCGAACTTTCTTCCCGTCGGAGAGCTTCTGCAAGACACAGCCAAAAGAATCCTGCACAACCGTGACTGCCCCTTAATTCACAAGAAGCGAGGTTCTAGGGCCCTTCCGCTAGACTACTTTTGACAGGTCGTACGGGGGCTTCAATGATCATCTTGGTGCTCTTTCGACACGCAAGGGGATTGACGCCTTTCTTCCTGTGCAGGCGCACAGCACAGCACCCGCCAGCCACACGCGCCGTTGCTGACTCTGCAGCCTTTCTTTCGCTGCAGCGTCTACAACGGCAAAAGGGTCAGCAGCAAAGCAAGTTGCACACCGTTTTCTTTTGGCAGCACGCTCCAGTTCCCTCTGCTTTTGGAGCTCCTCCTTTTGCTGCTGCAGTAACAGTCCGCTGCAGTCAACTCCTTGCTGCTGCAGCTTTTCGAGTTGCTGCTTGCGGTCCGCAGCCAGGCGCCGCTTCTCGGCAGCGGCAGCAGCAAGGGGGCCCTTTGCGCTTGCGCGCTGCTGCTGCTGTGCTCTTACAAGGGAGAACTTGGTGGGTTGCTCAACTTGCAACACACCTTTAAAGAGAAACAGCAGAGGCAGCCCTGGCACTCGCCTGCAGCAGCACCAGCAGCCGGAGGGTGCTATTGGACGCTAAAGCGCCTTCAAGACGAATGCCAGAAGCAGCAGAAAACGCACCGCAGCAGCCAGAGCCGCACGCGGGCTCTAATACAGTACGCTGCAGCAGCAACAACTGTAGCAGCAGGAGAAGCAGCAGCAACAACTGTAGCAGCAGGAGAAGCAGCAGCAACAACTGTAGCAGCAGGAGAAGCACACCTAAGGCGTTCTCTGAGCCTCGCATCCTGCGTCGCAACGCAGAGTTTTCGTTTCTCCTGAGTGCTGACAAGGCGCACAATGCAACCGTAGGCATCAGGGTACTCAGAGGCGCCTTTTAAGACATCGGGAGTTGCTGTAGACGTCTCGCCAGTTATTCTGCCTCTTCCGAGGTCACTTGTGTTGTGCTGCAGATGCCGCGCTGCCGCGGCTGCTGCAGCTGCAATGCTTTGCTGCTGATGCTGTCGCTTCGCAGCTCCAGCGTCTTCGGGGAGGGCCCCCCCGATAAGGGCAGGGTGGAAGAGGAACTTGTGCTTCGGCATGTCGAGAGTTTTGCTGACTGTGATACAGCTCCTGGCGTGGCTGCTACGGTGCGAGGAGGGGCCTGTACCCTCATCGTCGTCGCTGCAGCCGCTGCTGCTGTCGTCAAGCAGCTGCTTCTTTGGCTGCTGCGACGCTGCGGAGGATTCGGGGAGCCTTCCGACTGCACTGCCTGTTCTCCCCCCATCTTCCCCGCTGCTGTCTGCGTTTTTTTCGCTCTGTCTGCGCTGCCTTTTCTGCGGGGGGGGAGCTCCCGCAGAGGGCAGTGCGTCGTCTGCACTTTCATCACGCCGTCCTTCTGCGGCAGACCTTGCTGCGGCGTTTTGGGGGGGGGTTGTTTCATCTTCTTCCCCCAGCGTTGCAAGTGCAGCGGCTGCTTCAGCTGCAGCTGTTGCAGCGGCGGCTTCCTCCGCGTGTTTGCACGGATATCTGAGCATCGCAAACAGAGCGCGTCTCGAATCTGAACGCTGTGGCACTGAATGGCGTCGAGCTGTTCAGGCCCATACACCGAGGTCTATGATTTCTCTCCTGTTCACCTTTTGTAGCGTTTTGCAGCTGCAGCGGCTCCCTGCGCTCCTGGTAGAGTCCTCACTTCCTTCATGATGCATGGCGTGACGTCTGAAGTCACACGCATAGCTCTGAAAAACGTAATCCGTGGGAAAGGGGCGATGCGTGAGCTCCCGGCAGGCAAGTCGGAGATGCCTCCACACGGGTGCATGCAGGCACACTGCCTACGGTGGAAGACAAGGGGCAAACGGGGAGAGAGGGGAGAAGGAGGGATGAGGAAAAACAGGAGGGCTGTGCGATCCGATCGGGAAATGTGGCAGTACAAGAAAGCCACGACTCAGCCTTACACATGGTTGTTTTACCGCAGAGGACGCGTGGGAGCAGCTCCGCAACGTTAACTTTGTGGCGAATGCATGCGGCGAGAAACGTGCCATCCACTGAAGACACAAACAATCTGACAGAAGATATTCCCTGATGAACCATACCTGCCAACGCGCAGCCACCACCACTCTAAATCTAAGGAAGTAGGGCCCTTGGAGTGGGAATGCTGATGACTGTGGCCTCTAAAAGAAGGCAAGAGCTTCCATTTTCAGCCTTCACATTCCTGGCGGCTGTACTGCCAGTCAGTGCAAGCGCCGGTAGGGAGCTTTTTATTTGGGAATACAGCCGGCGAGCGCTGGAGGGTTCTGTGGGATCACCGATGAGTTGATAGGGCTCCTGAATTCCGAAATGCGTCGCATAAAAGCGCATGATCTTCTTGAAAGACTTCTTCCGCGCCACCCTCATCCTCGTAATGCACCTTTAAAAACGAATTCTACACGGTACAGAACCCCCAGTTCATCGAATGGGCATCAGCGCAAGGCCGCTGCTCCGGCCTTCTACCGCGCGGCAGGCGAGTGCTGCTGCTGGAATTCCTTTTTCGCATGAATAGATATTTAGAAATTCGCTTCCCAAAGCTGCGATTGCAGAGTCTGTTGGAACGGATGCAGCGAGGGCTGTTTTTTTTAGCGGCTTCTGCTGAAGCCGTTGCAAAACAGGGGCAGAGCGTGGTGGTTACTTCTGTGGTTTTCGAGTGCTGCTCCCAAGCAAGCACAATCCTTCACACCTTTCGAATGGCATGAAAAACGTGATTTTCCCCTTTTGACCCTCAGCAAACACCACCCTGCAAACGGATGGGGGGCCCCCTCGGGGAACGATACACCGCGTGAGTACGGGTACAGCAGAGAGGTACCCTGGCAGTGTGTGCCCAGCCGCGGGGGGCCCCCCTAGAGACAGCAGCACCTGCCCTCTCTGCCTGCATCGCTTCCTAGTGCAGTTGTTGCTCCGCCAGCCGATTTTTTCATGGCTGGAATCAAAGCTGCCGCTTTCTTTTTTCAAGAAGGAAGCGAAAGACTGGGGGTTCACTCAAGCTGACTCAGTTGCACTCTGCCCAGCTCGAGACACACCGTGGACTCTCCTTCCCTTCCCCCTCGTGCGGTTCTCCTCCTTCCAAGAGCGTGCGACGACGCCTTAGATTTGAATTCTACTTCACACTTTGCGGTCGGGTGTACATGCGCCTCCCCTCCCTCCTTGCCCCTCCCTCCTGCGAGCTCCCCCTGCACAGTCGTCCTCCACCCCTCCCTGCGTTCCCTCCTTTCTTGCCGCCATCGACTCGCCAATAGCGCGCCCTCCCGACTTCCCTCAGGCACACTCGTGGCAGGACGAAGATGTCTTCCTCCGATCCTGGAGCGAATTCTGAGATTTCAACTCCCTGGGCGTCCAGAGGCGCGGCGGGAACGCTTTTCCACAGCGGCCACAACAGCAACAGCTGCATCAGCGATGGCAGAAACGACAGCACCTACAGCACCCGCAAGGCGCCCACAAAGCTTCGAGGCGCTTCCTGCTTGCTAGGAGGCGTCTTGCTGCACATCGCGCTAGGCACCGTTTACACGTTTGGCGTGTCGTCTGTCTATTTGATATCGTTCCTCAAGAATCGTACCGATCCCACCCTCCGCATCTCCGCCTCAGCCACCCTCATGGCTGCAGAATTCAGTGCCATGGCCATCGGAATGCCTCTAGGAGGTGCTTTGGAGCGCAAGTTCGGTCCAAGGGTGTACGTAGGCTTCCAGTCTGCTACTACTACTACTACTGCTAGTACTACTACTGCTACTATTACTACTACTACTACTACTACTACTACTACTACTACTACTACTACTACTACTACTACTACTACTACTACTACTACTACTACTACTACTACTACTACTACTGCTACTACTACTACTACTACTACTACTCCGTGAAATCTTAGGACCCTGTTGCTGCTGCCTTCCCACATCCCCTCCTCTTCCCCTCCGGAGCCTTGGCCAAAGAGACGCCCTTTGTCTCTCCTTGGCAAAAAAGCCTCTCCTTGGCGAGAAAGCCTCTCCTTGGCGGATGAAGGAGAGAGAAAGAGAGCTTCTTTCTTGTTGCACATGCATCTCAAGACCGTCACGTGGCCCTCTTTGTGTCCTCTCTACGCTGTATTTGCTGTATGCCCCCTTCAGAGTCAGCCTGCTTGGAGGCTTCGTGTTTGTCAGCGGCGTATACGCCTCCAAATTCACAATCGCATACGGCTTCCTTCCCTTTCTGCTTTCCTACGGAGTGCTCTATGGCTTCGGCTTAGGCGTCGCCTACACGAATCCCCTAGTGGCTGCTCTTCGATGGTTCCCCGATCAGCAGGGTAAGTTGCATGCACACGTTCCCCGTTTCTTTTAACGCCTAGCGCTTGACAGGGGATGTTGTTTCGTTTTGGGTGTATCTTCACGAAGGCCCTCTCTGTGCCTCCTTAAAAGGCAGGAGAGGCGAGGCTGCTCCTGCATGCAGCACACCGTTCGGGATCGTGTAAGATCGGAAACTCTAAGCTGTGGGGTATGTGTGGGGCTTTTTTGTGTTCAGGCCTTGTCAGCGGCCTTATCACTGCAGGCTTTGGATTAGGTTCCGTCCTATTTGCGCCTCTTCAGCAGCAGCTGCTTAATCCTACAGGCATCCCTCCCGCGTGGATGCCATACCAAGAGGCCCCCCAAGAGCTGTATTACGATGACGAGTTGATTCTGAAAAGAGTTCCCTCCCTCTTCCCGCGGATCGCCTTCGTCTACGCTGCTCTGGTCGCAGCTGCAGCGTCGCTCATCTGCAATCCTCCAGACACCCACGAGAAGGAGGAGAAGAAACAGCAGCATCAACAACAACACCCACGACGACACACGCTGGCAATACTGCAGCCGGAGAGCGAGCAGCAGCTCCCTCTTGCCGCTGTGCTGAAGTCGCAGCCATTTCGCCTGCTCTGGACGCTTTTCTTGCTGCAAGGCTTCAGCATCCTGTTTGTCGCGAGCTTCTGGAAAGCGCTAGCTGCCACTAGTGGAGCCCCCGCTGCAGCTAGCCAGCAGCTCACTGAAACGCAGCTAGCTGTGGTTGGAGCCACGGCGAGCGCCTTCAACGCCATGGGGCGGATTCTGTGGGGCAAATACGCCGATGTCAAGACACCCCAAGAAGCCCTTGTAGGACGTTTCTGCTGCTCTTCCCGCTGCCACGCCTGCCGCTAAAGAGGTTTGCACACGAATCTCTGGCAGGCAAAGAAGCGTTCTTGCTGCTGCTGCTACTTTTTTCCCACTTTCACTCCCGCCTTCGGAATGCCTCATGCTGTCTGCTGCGTGGTGGCGTTCGGGGGGAGGTCTCTTACTACAGGGACGCAGCAAGGAAGGGCAAGAGCAAGCTATTCTCTTCCCAGATTCACTGCGCAAATGCGTGCCTCAACAAACAAACCGAAAGAGTGTGATGTGCACTGCTGCCATGTCATTCGCGCTGCTGCAGTGCCTCCTCGCAGGGATTTGGAGTGGGGCCTTGCTGCTGCTCTCGCGGGCAGCAGATGTGCATCCGCTGTTGTACGTTGTGGCAGTCTGCCTGAATTTCTTCTGCTTGGGGGGAAACTTTGCTCTTTTTCCCGCCGCGACAGCCACACTCTTTGGCCAGCAAGCAGTTGGTGCGTCACTCTACACCCAGTCAGCCATCAGAAACGTAGCCTGCCTGCAGACAGCGAAAGCCCTAATGACTCCGCCTGCCCCCTTCTCTGCCCCCTTTACATGCGTGGGAGACACGCGTTGCAGAGCAACTGCGACGAGCAGCGCTGGCGGCTGCTGTTTCGCTAGTGTCGTTGCATGCTCTTGCTGTGCTTGTTGAACGCGTTTCCCCCTGCGTGGCCAAATCCGTCTTTTCTATTTTCTTACAGAGACTCTGCTTCGTCAAAACTCCCGGAATCTGCGGGTGATGCTGCTGCCGTTTGGTGTTGTGCGTGCAGGCCGGGTGTATGGCTTTGTATTTATGGCGCAGTTGGGGTCGTCACTGATGGGAGCCATTGTGCTGCCCGCCCTAATACAGTGAGGAGGCTTTTCCGTCTTGTTGCACCCTCTGTCTCTGTTGCTATCCGTCTCGGTTTCTCTCTGTCTCTCTCTCTCTGTTGTTAACTCTCTGACTCTCTGTCTTTCTCTGTCGCTATCTGCCTCTATTTCTCTCTCTGTCGTTGTCTGCCTCTATTTCTCTCTCTCTCTGTCTTTCTCTCTGTTTCTCCGCCTTTCTCTCTCTCTCTCTCTCTCACTTCCTGCAGCCGTTGTCTGTCTGCCTACTTCACCCTGGCCCCACTCGCTTGATATCCCTTGTTTGCTAAGGCTGTATCTACACCCAACCTCCAGCAGTGAGCGCTGTGGTTTGCTGTGTGCTGCGAGTACAGACACCTCGGCACGCCCGCGGCCTGCCGCGTCGTTTCTGTTTGCTGCTTCACTGTCACTGCCGTTCTGCTCGCCACTATGCGCACACGTGCGTGGGAGCCCTTTAAACCCCAATAACTACAGCAGCAGCAGCAGCAGCAGCAGCCCGCCGACGCCCCCTCCCCGACACAGCCCAACAACCAAGGAGTCAACAAAGCGCCTTCGCTTCCTCCTCCAAAAGACAAGACTTTTGCGTAGTTTCTGCAGCAGCAGTTCCTGCTGCAGCCGTAGCGTCGCCTCGTGCAAGTGTAGCTTTGGCCGATGCTGCGCAGCCAGCATGGGTACTAATCGCTAAAAACCTTGTTCGCTACGGTGTCTCTGAGCGCCAACGGCTTTGTGCGCAACTCAAATGCGCAGCCTCCCTACGAGGCTCAAGACCGACCCACCCCTTCAGGCGGGTAGACATACGTTTGTTCATGAAAAACTTTCCCCCCTCCCCTGGATCTCACCGCTAAAAGAAAATGCCGGCCTCACTGCTGAGCAGAGCTGCTGCTGCCGCTGCTGTACCTGTCATACAGTCGCCGCAGAAGGGCGGCAGACTTAGCGCCCTTCAAATTTCTCTCTTGAAGAGATTCCGCCCTCTTCCCAGGGATACAAGCCGCATAAGAAATATCGCGCAGCGTTCTCAGCAGTGCTCGCCTCTCCTGCTGCTCATTGTCAAAGGCTAGAAAAGCCGCACCGACTGCTTGAAGACCAGACGGACAGCAGAGCAACACGCGCAAAGATCGGCATTCATCGCTCGTTAGCGCCTCAAACTCGCAGCTGCTGCTCGCAGCCTGCATTGCAGCTGCTGCAGTCTCGGACTGCTGCTGCAGCACATCCAGCCTCCGCAGCAGCACGGCCACATCACGCGGCTGCCACCGACCTGCGCGGAGAAGGAGGCCGTAGATAGTGAGCGCACTTCAGACAAGCGCATGCAGCAGCACGAGCAGCCCTAGAAAAAACAGCGACCGAAGAGGCAGTGAGAGGCTCTCTCGACTCGCTGCGCGCCAAGAGAAGAAGCATGCAGAGCAGACACGCTTCACGCTCAACCTACCTTCGGCGGCTTCGGAGGAAAGCTCTTCAACGTGAATACTTCTGCGTGGCTGCAGTACTCCTGCTGCTGCTGCTGCTGCTGTCTGGGGCTGCCGCGATGCCTCTCTGTTCTTGAGCTCCGTGCAGCTCCCGGCTTGCAATTCACTAGAACCAGCAGCTTTCGCCTTAGCGCCTCCTGCAGCGGAGTGATCCTCTGCCTCAGCTGCTGCCACCGATTTGGGGTGGAGTGCCCCCACACGGCGTTCGAAGCAATTCACCATGCGCTGTGCAACCTCACGCAGAAAGATGCTGGCTAAATGTTGATATAAGGCCGAACGACACTGCAGCAGCAGAACAGAGACGCAGCACGCACAAGACGATGCAGCCGGACGCACAGCGCGCAGTAAAAATAAACTAAGGGGCAGAAGGAAGCGAACGTTGGGATTTATCAGGAGTTTGGAAATCCCTCTCAGGAGCCTAGCTCGCCGTGCATGCACCACTCCTCCACCCACTCTCGCACAAGTACAACTACCCCTCTAGGGCAACTGCATTTTTTGCAGCAGCGGCGGTTGCTGCAAAAAATGCAGATGCAACCATATGAACGTGCCGACTGACAACAAATCTCGCGGAAAAGTCGACGCGACATCCTGAACCCCCTGGAACGTCCCTAAACAGCCACTTTGTCTCCTGAAGCAGTCGCAGCAGCAGTCGCAAAGTCGTGCAGCACCGTATGTTTGCGCCGCAAAAGGTAAGCCCAGCATGTTGGAATTTTTCTGCATGCAGCCGCAATGGCTGCGTGCATGCAGAGACCAAGCTGTCTTTCGGTGCAGACGTGACTGCGGAAACTGAACGCACGAGGGTTTCAAAGAGGTTCGAGTCGATGGCTCGGCAGCAAATGCGCCAGCTGTCTGCACACCGCAAACAGTAGACTCGCGATGTGAACCGCTCCTGCGTCAAGCCTAGGGATACGCTCAAGTAGCCGTCGAAAACATCGACACCCTCTGAAATATCCTTCCCAGAGCCTTCCGAAAAGGGCCCTAAGGCCTTTAAAACTTCAGGAGACTCACAAGACGTGCCGCCGAAAGCCCCTGGGAATATCCCACTATCCTGCGCATGCAGACGCACATCCGGCGTGAAAGGCGGATCATCAGTCCTGAACAGCGGCGTTTGCAGTGAGCGCGTCTTGATGCCTTTCCTCTGAGAGTTCAGAGCAAGCTGCGAGGGGCCTTGTATTGGGGGGTTTACGGTTTAGCGTGGATAGGGCTTGCGATGTACGCTACACCACGGAATGAAGTCTTTGTAGCTCGCCACGTCTCTAACAACATCCCAGTACTCTTCCTTGCGGTGTCTAGACACATGGGACTCATGGTGCTGCAGCATTTGCTGCGGCTCCCCCAATCCAACTATCGCAGCAGGCAAGTCAAAGAAGGGCCGACGCCGTGCTTCGTGCAGCAGTTGCTGATGAGCAGGTCCGTGCTGGTGGTTGGTGAGCGCAGACAGCATGGTGCCAATGCTGCTGCCTCCCCCGCAACTGCCACTCCGCATGAGCAGACGGGAAGCTGCTAGGGAGGGGACGCGTAATTCTGCTGCGACACCACGCGGCGGACACCATGAGCGCGCAACCACCTTGATACGGCTCTTGCCGCCGAGGCAGTGAGAGGCAAGGGTTCCGCGATGCATTTCGTATGGCAGGAGATGCAGCAGCTGCTAGAATGCGAGCAAGGGAGGCCGTACGCCGTTGAAGAGCGCCCGCAGGTAGGTATTGTGGCGGCAGAAGCAGCAGCCATTGCTGTCGCTTCGACCGAAGAGCGAGTGGTAGCGCTACCTGCGGCAATCTTAAGACCGGTGTTCGGGTGTACATACAGTGGAAGACGCAGCGCACAGCAACAAGAAGAGCGCCTGAAGAAGCCGGGGAGAGCTTCGGGATCCTGTAGCACAACCGGAAATCCCTGATGAGAGAAATCAAAAGGATGGAGGTTTCAAGTTTTAATTCGACAAAATAAATTCGGAAACCGCTGCCGACGCGTAGCAGTTTTCGCGTGCATGGGGCTGCATGCCAGCGACACCCAATTCATGGAAAGCGACTAAATGACGCAACAAACGGGCCTTGCAAGCATTCTCAGACTGCTCTAGACGATGATCTAGGGCGATTACATGACTATGTTGGCAGGAGCAGTGGCAAGAGGAGTATCGTTTATTGGCACCGCCGCTGCAGTGCAGAAAGCACAACAACCAATCGCTTCTGTTTTGATTGCCAGGAAAGGAGCTGGTCTTCCAGCAGGAGGAGCGAAATTCAGCAGCAGCACATAAATATCTGGTACGATAAGCGGCAGGAATAGTGTTGCCAGGCCTTGCTACCGCTAAGACTGGTGCTGTAGCTGCGAGCACCTGAGTCGCAATGCAAAGCCATATCGTGCCACAGCGGCTTATGATGCTGAAGCGGTTAAGCGGCATGGGTAGAACCATCACCTCCATGCCCGCAAGAGGGAAACGCGCTCAAGCTGCAACTCAAGCCAGCAGCCGCAACAGCAACACGAGCAGCAAGAGCAACAGCCACGGCAACAGCAACGATAGCAGTGACCACAGCAGCACACAGAGCAGCGCCAGCAAGTGTAACAGCGACAGCAACAACTGCACCCCCACAAGCGGGCGCGAATCACAGGATCCTCAGGCCTTGAATGCCTTTTGGTTGCGGCAGCGCTTAAGATCTAGCAGCCACTGCAGCGAACCGAACAGCAACAACAGCTTGCATCAGGGTGAAGTGGCGATGCTTTGTTGGAGAAAAGGCTTCGGCTTCATTCGTAAGCGCTGGGAGATTGTTGGTTTGGGGATTTTGCTTGTTGGAATGGTCCCTATGTGCGTTCATGTGCTGCTCGACAGTATAGCTGCGCTGCACGTGAGGCCAGCTGTCTGCTGTCGTGTATCCTCGAATCCAGCCACAAACGCGAAGCGACTAGGCACAAGGCTTGCTAGTTCGAGATGCGTGGCTCGATTGGTTGCTCGGGATGGTGGCGTGCTTGCGATTTGTCATACTAGGGCCGATAGATGGAGGAGGTGACATCTTTTTTAGAGCAGAAGACCTTAGGTTTGAGACAGGTATATCTTCGCCTCTTCTGTTGCAGCGATATTTGGAGTCGCTGGGTGAAACTGCTGCTGCTGCCACTACTGCTACTACCAGAAGTTCCTATAATACTTGTGTTGCTAGAGATTCCTACAATACTTGTGTTGCTAGAGATTCCTACAATACTTGTGTTGCTAGAGATTCCTACAATACTTGTGTTGCTAGAGATTCCTACAATACTTGTGTTGCTAGAGATTCCTACAATACTTGTGTTGCTAGAG